GGGGGGGGGGGCTGTCAGCTATTGTTTTCTTTTTTGTTGTTGACACTATTACAGATGCCCCTCATTTTTCCCCCTTTACCGACCTCCACACAGCCCCTGACCTTAGTCACAGATAGCCCATGCCTCAGCTGTAAGAATTCATCACAGGGAAGGCATTGAACTGCCTTTAAAATTTTCATTCTTCTAAGAGATATGGTCAGTTTCCTTTACATGAGGCAGAAGAGAAACCACTACTTGGGTCTTTTTCTACAAAAAACAGAGGGTTTCTTGATACCCCCCCCCACCCCCATCCCCGACTGAAACCACTTACCGAAACCATTTTTCCAAACTGGAGTTAAATATCTTGATTTTTCATGTAATAATAGCATGTTTGTTTTGCTGTTTTGTTTTTTCTTAAATGTCAGTTGGAAAGTGGTTGCAAATCACTATGAATGGGTGATCAATAAACTTAGTCTCATAGAACGATGCAGTTGAAAAGGGCTTTAGATGTCATCCTGCCTGGCCATGCTTAAATATCTTTCCCTACCAAGAGACAGATCATAGCATTACTTCCTACTGGGGTTTGGCCACAGCAGTCTACTTAACTCAGAATTCCTGACAGATACCACCAATTGGAATTGCCATGCACTTGCTCTCCTGGAGAGTTCAGTCTTTCATTTTATAGATAACAAAATTAAAAGCAGCAAGACGGACAGATTCAAGGCTAGTGGACTAGTAAGAGGAAGAGCCAGGACTTGAATCCAGGTAATCAAGCCTTTTGTTTGAAAACATAAGGTAATACATTTGGTGGCTGTATTATTACAACCCATTACAGTAAGCTAATTATGTTGCGTAACACCTTAACTTTTTAAATTATCTCTTTTGTTTTTCTGACGGGTCAGAATTTGACCAGATAATCCAAGTTCATTCTATTATTTCATGAAGTTATCATAATTACACTGAACCACTGAAAAAAGTGAGCTGACAATAACAATTTCAAGAAACAAACCTAAGTTTCTTTTGTTTAAAGAAAAAAACACACGTGGTGTTTAGAAGGAGGCATTTCAGCCCTCATAACCAGAGTCTAGGAAAAGAAACTCACATCTCAGGTAGATAGTCTTTTGAAGTCCTGGAAAGTGGTGATCCTTCCTCCTGGCCTTGCCACCTTTCCGAGGCAAAGAAGAATACATCTTAAGCCCTAAGAGCACTTCCTGCTCCTCTCCAACAAAAGAGGGGGGGAAAGTCATCTAGAGAGATATTTCTGTCTGCAAGCCATGCAGTCCCTTGACTGTCAGTAAGCTAAGGAGGAGCCTCATTTAAGATGGCAATAGAGAATTCTACCAAACTATGTGAAGCACATATTACTTCATTCCATGAATGTCCAATTACAGGTTAGCATTTAAGGTGAAAATAATTAGGAAATCAGCACATGATCATTTTGATTTTCTCTGTTTCTTAGGAAGAAAAGCAATGAAAAGTTTATCAGTAAATCTAAGGCTAATCCATTCTGGAACATGAGTTGTCCTACGTAAAAAAGGAGAATCTGCCCAGCTGAGTGTGGCTCAGTGGTTGAGCATCGACCTAGGATCCAGGAGATCGGGGTTCGATTCCCGGTCAGGGCACATGCCCGGGTTGCAGGCTCAATCCCCAGTGGGAGGTGTGCAGGAGGGAGTCGATCAATGACTCTCTCATCATTGATGTTTCTATCTCTCTCTCTCCCTCTCCCTTCCTCTCTCTGAAATCATTAAAAGATATATTTAAAAAAAAAAAAAAGTTTAAAAAAAAAAGAATCAGAAAGGAGAATTTGAAGATGTTTACCTAAGTGAAGCATACAAATGAGTAATGCAAAGGCTTATTCCTTTTTATTTAAATTTTTCCAAGGGTAAACTGTAAGTTCCTCTGCCCCCATCCCAGGAAAATGAAAGGGGACCCATATTTAGAGTATTCTTTCTGATTTTTGTATCTACTTCATGTGTATCAAAGTAGAATGACGCCAAAAGTGTTGGTCTGAGACATTTAAATTCCTCAAAATCCTATTTACTGATAAGGCACCACCCTGATGCTAAAATGAAGAATTGGAACGTTATTTAAAAAGAAAGTTACACAACAAATATGATTGCTAAACTTATTTTCCTATTTACATGCTCTTATAATCTTTTGTGTTCTCTTAAAGTTGTCAAAAACAGATGACTGGGACCCATGGTCAAGAACATATCGCAGAACATCTGATAGATCTGAGAGAGCATTTAAAATGCCCTTGCTGTATAGTACAGGAAACAATTCTGTTGACACAGTTCGTGAACCTTATTATTCTCTGTATAAGATATCTGATAATACAAAACCATGATGATATAATTTAAAATGAACAAGGAGACCAGATAGGAAGCAGCAGCTAAAGAGTGAGTTCGAGAGAAACTGAGGAAATAACAGAATGTGGTAACCTGAACTGGTTACCTCCATAGGTTCAAGGTGTGTTGACCATTTCTATTTTGAAAAGCACAGTTCTTGCTCAGGTCCCAAGGAGAAAATCAGTTTGAGGTCCAATGGCAGCATGAAGTTTGAAACAGGAAGAGGCAAGTACCTCTGTACGTAAAGGTCTTGGAATAGTGCATTTTGCTAAGAAGAGCACCACAGCAGATAACTCGACTGGGTTCAACAGCTGCTTAGAGAGTACCTTTCTGGAAAATCAAACAGGAAATGGAGCGACATGGTCAAAGACGACAGAAGTTCTAGGGATCAATGTACAAAAAGAAGAAGTTGAAGAAAAAAAAATCATAACTGCAATTTAGGATAAAATGGTATCCAGTCCAGAGGAAGAGTCTTTGGGGATCTTGAGTGGGCAAGAGAATCAGGGCAGGTCCCAAGTCCCTGGGAGATGACAGAGCAGAAGCACCTTGCAGATGGCAACATTGAGGGCTATCTGATGACCAGGACTAGAAAGTTTAGAAAACAAGAAGAGTGAATGTGCCAAAGAAGCTGAAGACCCTCAGTTTGATTAAGGAATCAGCCAGATAAGGAGAGTCAGGGATGATTTCCTTAAAGAAACGAGGGAGAATTCATGAGAATATCTAAGGAAGGTCTAGCGAACAGACTATGATGTGATGGGTTTAGGTCCTGGGACAAGTGTGACTGTATTTTAAAACAAATTTGTGACCTTTTCATGGGAAGTTACTATTATAAAACTATATTATCGATATTAGAAATGGAAATTATTTAAAAATGCAAAGGTGTTTGTGGGTTTGTTTCAAAGAAGCAGAGTAGGAGACGTTGGAAACTTTTGTCTTACTATGAAAAAATCTGGGGATAGAAGATTCCAGCGGAGGAATAATTTGGTACTAGCTGGAAAAAAGTTAGTGACCCCAACTTGAGGGATGTATGAAAAAATAAGCCAGGAATCACTCCTCCAAGGTACCCAGGTTTTATTTGGCAGTAAGGCCATTTTAGCTCATAAAATTACTTTTCTTTTCAAAATATTTTTAAATTGTTGTTTTTATAGACACTTTGGTTGCCCCAAAGTTATGACAACCAGGCTGCCATTCTACTAATTTTCATGACCATATGTAGTCAAAATTGTGTGTGTGCGTCCGTGCGTGTGTGTGTGTGTGTGGTGAGGAGTGCTGTGTAAGAGGGATCATAAAGACAAATAATCAAAAAATACAATATTAACTGAAAACTCAAATAATGATGGATATTTTGAAAACAACTAATATTTTGGTTATTTAGTAAATACAATATTTCAAGGTATACTGCTAATGGACACATTTATACATATAAAAGAAAAAATCAGAAGGAACAATAAATCATTCAAGAGTCAGGTCATCGTTCCAATACAAAACAAATGCCATCTAATTATTTAACAGCAAAACATATCAATGAGGTTTTGGACAAAAACCATTTGAAAAATCATCCACAATTAGACAAAACATTTTATGACCATTTTCCTAAGGTTATATAAGTACTGCTTTAAAATGATTTATGTTAAATGTACTTCTTAATGTTTTTCAATATTATAAGTAAATGGTTATAATAACCACACTGGGACAATTTTTATAAGTGGCAAGTCAGTGACTGGATAAGGGGCAACAATAGGTTAAAAACATAAGAATTATTTTTAGTTAAAAAAAAAAAGGCATAACTATAGCAAAGGAAAAACACTTGGAAAATAATGGATTAAGAACATAGGGAATCAGAAGTTTTAGAAGATTAGGAAAACAAATTTTAATTTTTTTCAGATTGACTTAAAAAAAAAATCCACATATGACTGTAAAAGGAAAAGGAACACTGGAAGCAGACACTTAATTGACTCCTCAAAGGGGTTTAGATTTACAGCCTAAACTCACCATGATTCTTCCCAGCAGCCATTTTTCTGCTGATAATAAAGCTGTTGGCCTGTTTGGTCTTCCAGTTAACTGTTCCATTTATGCCATCAGCACAGCTTAATAAAAAAGCTTTTCAGAATAAAACAAATGCACAAAAAATGACATTAATGTTAAATTAAAATGACTCTCATAGATCACCTACTATTTATTGGGATCAGATTCTTTCCAGCCCAGCTATCTGTTTAATTCCATTCAATAAATATTTGTTGCATGTCGATACAAGAAATATATGGTGACAACAGGTAAATAAGACACAGTTCCTGCCCCCCAAGGAGCTTACAATCTACAGGGATTTATAATTCATGTACAGAAACATATGCGTAATATATAATATAGTATATATATAATAACTGCACATAAATACACAATGGTAGAAAGCATAGGGCTACGAAAACACTGAGGGGGAAGCAATTATCTTTGGCCAGGAATGTTGCGATAAGTTTAAGTGTCTTCTAAATTCACAGTTGAGTTTTGGAAACATTACTCTGGCAGCAATGAAAAGAACTGGGGTCAGGGGATACTAAATAGGGGGCTATCTCTGGAGTGCCGAGCAGCAGTCAGCCCATAAAGCAGGGCCAGTTACAAGGCATCATGGAGATAATACTGACAATACTTTTCAAACTGCTGGATGTGGGCTAAAAGGAGGACAGGATCAAAGATGACTGAATTTTTGATCGAGAATGAAAGAACAGTAACCTATTAGTAAGAAAAAAGAAGTTGGTTTGAGGATAAAGATAATAAATTTAATTTGAAATATGTTAAATTTGGGGTACCAGTTAGATATCCAGGGGAAACCTTCCACAAGGAAGATGGAAATAGAGCTCCAGTTCACAGGAGAATCTAATGGGGATTCAGATGCAGCTTTGAGGCTCATCCCCAGAGAGATGATTGTTGAAGCCAAAGCCCCAGTGCAGCTCCTTAAAGAGATCGTGCGTTAGGCCCTCGTGTACAAAGTGATCTGGAGAAGATACACATTCATGCCCTTGACCTACCTGTCTATCCCATCATACAAACTACCAATCTTACCGCTGACTTTCCCATTTTTCATCCTTACCTTTCAGACTTGATATTTGGGCACCATTTCCTAACTACAACATTGGGTCTCCCTTCCCCTGGCATCTCAAGCATGTTCCCTCTGGGTTCAGTCCAAGAATCCCTCAGGGCATACCCCATAGTTTGGTCCTAGCTCCTGGACTGAAATACAGCAAGAACAGATGCACAAAAGTGGGAGGTACAGGAAAGGTAGAAGAACATGTTAATAAATGCATTTACACAGCAAAAGCAGAGAATGATTCAGCAAAGAAATAAGAGACAGGCGGCCACAGAGGTTGGACAGCTGAGCTTGAAGTGTCACGTATGTCAAAGGAAGAGATGTCAAGAAGGAAAGTGTGATCAGCATCCTCAAATACTGCAAAAAGGTCAGAGGATGAGAGCTTAGAAAAGACTACATGGAAAATAAGAAGTTACTAGTGACTCCTTTAAAGTGGAGTTCCAATACAGTGGTAAGTGTAAGAAGCCAAACTGCAAAAGGTCAAGATGTAGAGGCAGCAAATACAGTTAATCTCTCAAGAACATTGGCCGGAATAGAGAAGCAAAGAGAGAAAATGCCATGGTTCACTGAAGTGCAGCATGTGGAGAGAAGCGCTGGTTATTTTAGTGTGGGCACACAGATTTTGTCCATAAGGTAGGGAAACGACATAGAGACCGAAGAGACAGAAAGAGACGGAGCATAAAGAAAAGGAGCATAACTGATGAGACACAATCCAAGAAACACTGGAATGGGCGGGACCAAGCATACACAAGCACAGAAAATACTTCAGGAATCAGAGAGCAAGGATGAGTAGAGGACAGAAACATTTGCTGGGGTATAGGAATCCTAATGTTGAAAGGGCTCCTTGTCTTAGTAAATCAGAGATGAAATGTGCATTTCTTTTTCAAACTGAATTTTAAGTAAAATTCTGAACTTATACTAAATTATGAGAAATACCAAGTTACCTTCCAAAATGAAAAAGAAAATGCAATTCATAACCCAAGTTATTAATCATAAGCAAGCAAAACCTCAGGCGATCATTTCAGTGATAGCTGGGAGTAGAAATCAAAGGCCCTAGCACCCCAAGCAAATAAACGACTTGGTTGGTATTCAATTTTTAAAATATGTAAACCTAAATGTACTAATTTTACATCTACTAAAAGGTCAATCTTATGGCTGATTTGGCTAATAAATGGTTGACTCACTTAATGACTGAAATTACGTCCTTTTAAATCTACATAAAAATACAGTAATCATTTCCTAAATAATTTAAGCTACAATAGTGTCAGAAATGTTCATAGACTCTTGTGGAAAAAATATCCTACTCCCAGGGTTATGCTGGTTATATAAGAATCACCTGGGCAGCTCTCTAAAAATGCATATTCACACGTACCCCCCAAAAAACATAATAAAAACATTTGAAAACACATATTCATGGCTTTACCATGGAAAGTCTAAGTAGTTGGGTTACACAATTTCATCAGGTGAATCTCACAAATAAATCTGAACTCTAGAAGACAGAGAGAAGAGCTGTAGATCCCAAGGGTTATATAGGATATTCAGCGGAGTCACATTATCTCCCCCAAATGCAGGGCTGACCTTAGAACTGAGAATCTCACCCACTCCTACCTCCAACTGGCCCACAGAGGCAGCCAGTTTGCAAGAACATGTAAGTCACTGCTGGACAGTGGGAAGTCCCAACCTAGGAAGGCAGGAAGCAGCTGGCCAGATTCTTCCCTACAACCTTCCAAAGAGCAATGACAAGCAACAGTTAGATATAAATCTATCACATCACCTGGTCCTGAGCAAGGTGCTTTCATGTATATTGTCTAGTTTAATCCTTGCATTACCAACCGAATGTATTAACATGACTGAAGATTACAGAGGCTTGATCTCAAACGAGCATGGAGTAAATCCTGCAGGCAAGCAGGATTCTTTAGAATTCTCCACTTTTCCATGGATTGGAGAGTTACCATAAAGAAACAATAGTTTGAGTGTCCAGACAGCACTCCTTTTGTTCCTTCCTTTATTCTCTAGCCCAGTGCTTCTCAGACTATGCTGTGCATAAAAATTACTGTTCAGAGCCACACACACAAAATTTCACATATTGTACTTTAAGGGCAATTTAAAGAAATTACTAGAATAACTCCATAAGATGTTTTGTTTTACACTCTGGCTTTTAGAACCTGACTAACCCAGCATAAGACTTAACACTACTCTGCATCCCTGTCTTGCCAGGTGAACCAACGTATTGCTTCATACTTTCCAGTGTCCTATATAAGGGCAGTCTAGTTGACTTTTACAGGATTCAAAATACAAATCTGATTGGAGCCTCAACTGTTATAAAATAGAGGCAGGGTGAAATAGTTTAAACACAATGCACAGATTGCTTTGAGTACGTCCATTGTTTAAAAGTTCATATTGATCCATCTAAATTCCTACTTTGACCACAGAGGACCACAGCCCAATAAATCTAAACAAAAAGACAACTTTTCATGGTTCTACTCACCAGGCAATGCCACTAAAGGCAAGACAGAATGCCATGGATGGTGTCTCTGCTTAAACATTCAAGTCCCATAGCTTGAGGGGAAAATCTCAATAACATGAAAATAACTATTTGTTTTTAATGGTGTGGATCCACTCCACTAACTTCTTGTACAAAAAAGTTACTGCAGTCTGCACATTGACAAATGCAGAATACTCACTGGGAAAAGCTAGTACTTTAAAGTTTGATTTTCATTAGAAAAGGACCATAGCTTTTTTTTTTCCTGTGAGGACAAATTTCCTTAGTTAGGATGGGAAAATATGACTTAATTTTTTAAACTATTCTACATATAACTTTTCAAAATTAATTCTAATGTGTGAAAAATAGGCCAACCTGTATAGACTGTTTATTGGACTCTTTTCAAAGATAATGGACCATTCTCAGAAATCTTGAAAGGAAGTCCACTGTGCTCACAAGTTCAGGGTAATCTATGTTACAATTGTACCTGTATGTGAGTTTTGCTCTAATTCATAAACACAAAAGCAAAGAATTACACGCATATTGCGCTTACACAGCCCCAACTAAAAAGACATTCACAAAATTAGCTGGCATATCATTATACAATTTATTCAATTCCTTAATGCTCCCTCTGAAAAATCATCAAAGTCAGAATTAATCCAAAGGTGAATGGCATGCCCTTAAATTCCCTAGAAACCATACAATACTTAAAGTTTGTCTTAAAATTCCATGATTCATTCTGAGTCTTGTAGCAGCACGACTGCATTTCATCTGGCCTGGGGCAAGCACTCTCTCAAGAGACAGTCCTCTTTCCCAAACCTGAATAATTTGCTGACTGGGGGAGGAGGAGTCTGCTACTTAATAAAGGCAATTGAAGAGTGAATAGTGACTGATTGCTGATGAGCTAATCAGAATGTCAAGGGATAGAAATAATAAATAATAACTTACTCCAACATCACTGTCTTGTCCAAGTAAACAGCAGGATATACCAAATGGAATTTAATCTGATTAACACACCTTAGAATCAAGGTGAGTCCACTGTTTCATCTCTATTCATATTTTACTGGAAGGGGACACAGACTTTGCTTTCATAAACTGCACCTATAGCTCACACCCTATATCCCTTCTTCCCTTCTCTCAAGATTTCGTATGTCACTATGTCCCTCCCTTGCCTCTACATTTTCTCTTCCCTTCCTTTATGCAACTATCAATAACACTTTTTAAATTGTCTCATATTGTTTTTATATTTTTCTCTCCCACAAAACATTAGTTGACATTATGTGCTACCACATTTTGAGTGCTGTGTTGCACTCCACTAAGGGTTCTATACATATTAACTAATTTAACCTTATGTTAGCTTTGTAAAGTAAGCATTTATCAGTTCCACTTTGCAATGAAGATAAGAAGTGTTAGGAAACGATGTAGCTTATCCCAGGCCATGCGTTTAGTAAGTGACACGGTTGGATTTTTGAACCCATTTCTTGACTGACTACAAAGTCCATGTCATCTACTCATCAACACAACCCTCATATGGTT